GCACAAAATTTATTTTTTAGAAAATTATATGTAATATTTTCGAAAATACAAGAGAATTTCATACAATTTTTATAAAATTTTGTGAAAATTTTTTTAAAATGCAAGAGAATCTCTTACAGTTTTTAAATTATAACAATATATAATGCAAAATTTTCAAAAAACAAGTAAATTATAAACAATCTTAACAAAATTTAAAAACTAGGTAAGAAAAGTAACTCAAATAAACTTTACATCATTATAACCAAAAGATATACTGAATTCTTTAGAAAATTATTATTCAATTTGTATTATTAATATAATTATGATTATGAACTTTTTAAACACTCTGCACAGGGGCATCTCCATCGATATTAAAGTCTTGACAAAGTCTTGACAAAGACATCTATATATCATTTCTTGGGATTAAAGTATTCATAATTGATATAGTAAGTAAAATGTGGTCCAATGCAACTTTACCTACCAAACATCTACATGCTACCTAAATCCTAAATTCCTTCCAATAATTATACACTAAAATTGTACAGATAGTTTATTTATTTATTTGAGTTTTTGATTTTTTTAAAATGAAATAGTCATGAGTAGATGTTTGTTTTATATAAAAAGATGGATGATATCCAATACTTGTCTAGAATGACTAATCTAATTGATATGGCTTGCAAGATATTCCTTTCAATTCGAGATTTATCTAATATGTTAATCGAAGAATAACTACTACTGCTACTGTTAAGTTGGGTAACCCGTCGCTACTTTTCGGGTGTACTTTAGTTAAATTCCCGGCACATTAAGGCGAATCATGTGTGACAGAGAAGACCTGAAAGCATGGAGTTTAAACACATAACATCACAATTACCGATCAATCTCCACAACACCAGATCATTCCTTACAAGACAATATTATTTTTTGTTGTTGTTGTAAAAACACTCATTAGAGAAACTGTTGTAATTCATGTATATCGATTCTATAATTATTATATAAAAATAAAAAGTTCTATTTCTCTATTTTTTTAAATTTATTTATTAGATTGATCTTCATTTTCTACTATATATTTTACAATATCACACTCAATATTTATGTTTATAAACTATTTTATTTTAAAGATATAAATAAGTATATCAAAAAATGTCAATTATATAATTTTTTACACAAGCAAACATAGCCTGTGTTTTTTTTTTTTTTTATTTGAAAGTTTAGTTTTTGTTTAAATAATGATTTAATATAATATATTGTTATAAATAAAATATATGTTTATTAAAAAAATACGAAGACCAAATAATAAGAAATCAAAACAAGACTCTCATATTTTCTTTCTACCTGGGTTAAGAAAGCTTTCTTGCCAAAAATGATAAATGTCGTTTGTTGTTGAAACTTATCAGGAATTTAACCCTAAATTCAGAATCTTCCGTGTCGAAATAATTGAGATAAAAAATAAAGCAATTAAATTTAACCTTATTCCATCAGCGTTGGCTGATTCGGATTTGCAAACAATGAAGGGTTTTGTGTTCTTCAAGTCTATGACGCAATCCCTCTTGAGAAATCCGCTAGGATTTCTGCCGTTACTCTCACGATGAAATATGAAAAATAATGGTTATTGCACCTAGACCTGAGATAACAATTCTAATTTATATCATTTATTATTAATTGGTCTCATCACCTAATTAATAAGTTACCGGGTTTCTGATCAGTTATCACGATACTAATATAACCTAAGATTCGATCAAGTGCAGATGCACAATATAGAAATTTCATGTAATGTGATCTCAACATGTCTATTTCAAACTGATCCACCTTAACTTTAATTCAGAACAACCGAATACTGAACTAAAATTGAATACTGAACGGTGCATAATGAATACTACAGTATAAAATAAAGTAACTTTAATTGTATTTGAATACTAAGAATCAACTCCCACTAAACTGAAATATCGAAATATGGTTCCACTCTCAAACGAACAATATGCTCACTATAAAATTTATGCGGCAACCCTTTAGTAACTACGGATCCGCAATCATAGAAGTTGTATGAATATGTTTAGTAACTAACCCATTATGTGAAGCCATACAATTAAGCAAATAGCGATTATTATCATCGAATAAGATACTAGTTCCAATTAATTTCGAATTCTAGAATAGACTAAAACTTTATATCTGAATGAACAATAATAACTGAATTTTTCCAAAGCAAAAATTGAAATTAAATTTCGACTAAAGATGGTACAAAAAAAATGTCTCATCCAAATTCAAATAATAACACTTAATAATAATCTAAAATTTTCAATGGCTTTATATTTAACTCTCTTGCCGTCATCCATATAGATGTATTTTTCACCATCAATTATTTTTCGGCAATAGAAAAAATCTTGCATAGACACACTGATGTAAGTTGTTACACTAAAATACACCCCACAGGTGTGTCTATGAACTGAAGTTAAACTAATTTCAAAAGTAAGACCAATAGGACAAACATATCATCCGAAAGGTCTAACTTAAGTTCCATCAATTTAGACCTATCCCAATTCTCAAATAACTGATTTTCATCTGCAATATTTTTCGTCGTATGAGTGGGTTGGTCCACTCTTAATGCCAAGTCAAGATTCATGCCACCTAAATGAATCAATATTGATTCTTTTCAGTGTTTACATTTGTTTCCATACTATATTGAGACCGAAAATATATATATGTATATATATATTTATGAAGCACAACAAAGTTCAAGAATAATGCATTATCATCACAAAAAACTAAGTGCAACATTACTGATCAATCTTTGAATCAATAACATTGATTGCTAGCAGTCATCTTGTTGCAATAATCATATACAAATAATAAGTAATGTCAAACAACAAAGCAATCTTTGAATTGATTCACTATTCACATAAGTTAAAGCCATATAATCATCTCATACATATTATCACAGATGTATATATCATTATGTCAATTACCAACTGCCTTTAGGCCGAAGAATAATCACATAAATTAAAATACACATAAATACTTATGTTATCAAATAAAAATCTCATATAAGAGAGGTTACTTTGGCAACTTCAAATACTAGATTTTCACTGTCAAAACGCAGCAAACATTATTAGTGAATTTATAATTTTTTTAAATTAAATTATAATCAGAATCACGTTCAATGTATACGAGTATGATTCCATAAAAAATAAAGAAGGCTTATAATCAACTTAATGCACATGTCTATAAGCAACTAAATGTTCCATATGTGAATTTATGAAATAAACTACCAACTATATCACTAGTTATCGAGCAAAATCAGAAATTGTTTTTGGACAAATTATTGACTCGCCAATGATAAACTTGTTTAAACAAATCTTGACGATAAGGTAGTGTATCAAACAATATTCCATCTTTGGATAGATCTATTATTCACACACAAATAACCAAATTATCAACACCATATTAAATGTCACTCAACATGCATGTAACTACTTAATTGCTGAATTCAAATAAATAAATAAATAAAACTACTTAATCGTTGAATTGCCTTTGGATCAATCACCAGCCTTATAAGTTACATAATGCTGTTTTGGCAACATAACTGTTTTAATAAATTTATAAAATATATTATATTATTTATTTTTAATTAAATTCACATTAAAATAAACATTTATATTCAATACATGTGAAAGCTATAATAGCAAAAATTAATTTATGAACTTATTAAAATAAGCAAGTAGTCCAAAAAATACTAAATGCAACGGAATTACATAGGCAAAAATATATCACCCAAAGAAACTATAAATTAATACACCAAATAATTTTAGTCGAATTTGAATAAATGCATACGGTAAAAGAAAACATATGTTGATTCACAAATTTAATTGCATCATAAGACATATCATAATAAATCTATAGTTCTGATTATTCATAAAAATCAGCAATATATAAATAAATATGGTCTTACACCACATTTGATTATCCACGTAATTTGCAACTTCAATCTTGCATCAATAACCAATCCCGAATAATCTATCAAACTACCAATTGAATGGGCATGATTCGATTTTGAACAAATTTGAACACAAATGCAAACAACATCGTGTATGATAAATTATAACCAAAATCAAATCTGTGCAATTCCGAAGAGGTTATAAAATTTAATAGTTGCAATATCATACAATTCCAAATAGTTACAGGTGTACAATCATTAAGCATATACATATATCATATTGGATAATTAATCAGAATTAATTATATAATCAATTGACTCAAATCAAGAATTTGGAGACAACAAACTGATTAGGAATAATCTAATTCCATTAAATAATTACCTTGATTAAGAAACCACACCAATCAGAACATGAATCCGATCACATACCGCATAAAGAAAAAAATAAATAAATAACCCCCGACGTGTCAGTTCACCCGCCACACATGATTCGCCTAGTTTAACTTGCATGTCAGACCTAATTTGCAGGGTATTAGATCCGATCGGAGGTTTACCCAGTGCCCACTTTAGGATAGCGACTGTGGATTCCCACGTCATAAAAATACAATAAAATAAAAATAATAATAATGCTTACGGCTTTAACAACAAAGCAGATTCCATTGCAAACTCCACCAAAGTTAATAATAATAATAATAACATTAAGCACTAGCAAATTCATATTGATTCATGAATTTTCCACGTGGATACAAATGAAACTTGCAGACACAATCATATTCATTGTCTAATTTGATGAATAAAATAAATATTTATATATAATTGCATTCGATGCTCATTTATACTTGCATCTAATTTCAATTGCAAGGTAAATGCATGATTACATAATCACGTTAAAATGTATATTCAATTTTAATAATGCAGCGAGAATTGAGATTGTGAAATCGGAACCAAGAAATATAAATCCACACATATTGAATTCCAATTAACATCAATTAATCTAATTTCTCAATAATTCAACACGGAACCGCTCTGATACCAATCGTTGGAACTTATCAAAAATTTAACCCTAAGCATAAGATCTGTCGTATTGAAATAATTGAGATAAAAAATAAAGCAATTAAATATAACCTTATTCCATCAGTGTTGGCGGATTCGGGTCTACAAACAATAGAGGGTTTTGTATTCTTTAAGTCTATGTCGCAAACAATGAAATGTAGTGTTTTTACCGGGATGAATGCCACTTGACTATCACAAAACATGTACTTGTCTTGAACTAAACCAAGTTCATGAAAGAATTTCTTTATCCATGGCAGCTACTTACTTTCTTCTGTGATAGCAATGAACTATGCTTCAGTAGTCAACAATGCAACACACTTCTACGTTTATGATTATCATGCCACAGCTCCCCCTGCAAACTTCACCAAATAGCCTGAAATAGACTTTCCAGAATCAGTATCTCTAGCCATGTCTGAATCTGTATATCTCATAAGAATAGGTTTATCTTCTTCAAAATAAAGTTTCAAACTACTTTTACCACAAAGATACTTGAATATCCATTTCACTGCATTTTAATATTCTCTATTGGGATTAGATAAAAATCTATTGATTGTACCAACAACATTTGCTAGATTTGGTCTTGTACACATTATTGCATACATCAAACTTCCCACAACAGATGCATAAGGAACTTGTGCCATATCAAATTTCTCATTTCTATTTGCGAGACTTTGTTCAACACTTAGCTTAATATGAGAAGAAAGAGAAATACCCAGAACATCAGCATTTTTCATTCAAAATCTCTGCAAAACTTTCTTGATGTAGTGTTCCTATGAACACCAAAGCTTTCTCTTTTTTATGTCACAAATGAATTTTTATACCAAGAATCTGTTTGGAAGCTCCCATGTCCTCTATAGAAAATAACTCCCTCAGTTGCTTCTTCAACCTATCAATTTTGGAGACATATTTTCCAATAGTAAACATGTTATCAACATATAACAGTAGAATAATGAAGTCATTGTTAGAGAATTTTCTATCAAAGACACAATGGTCAGAAGCAGTCTTGTAGTCATGTTCACGCATAACATACTCAAACTTCTTATACCACTGTCTCGGAGCTTGCTTCAAACAATATAGACTCTTTCTCATCCTACCGACAAAGTCTTCCTTGCCTTTAACAAGAAAACCATCAAGTTGTTTCATAATATCTCTTCTTCAATATCACCATGCAGAAAAGCAATTTTTACATCTATCATCTTAACCTTCAAATCAAAAGTAACAGCGAGGCTTAACCCTATTCGGATTGATGATATTTTCACTACACGAGAGAGAATATTATTGAAATCAATGTCTTTTCTCTGTTTATATAGCCTTTCACCACTAGCTTGACATTGTATCTTACAAACAAAGAATAACTCATATTTGTTTCTAAAATCCATTTGTTTTCCAGGATCTTTTTTCCATCGGGCAATTTCACCAAATCAAAAAGTGCGATTATCATGCAAAAATTTCACTTCATCATGCATCACACCTAGCCATTTTTGTTTTTCTTCACTTTCAATTGCATCTAATAGCACTCAGGTTCATCTGCATCAGTTAAAGAAACATATTATTATATGGATACCTACTAAATGGTAGTCTTTGTCGAGAAGACCTTCTAAGTGGAGCTTAAGACAACTCAGGATAATCAAATTCAAGATTTTTATCTTGTGACATCTCATTCTCTTCTTCAGCATGATCAATAACATTCAATTTATCCAATTCGTTTATTATTTTGAACTTCATGTTATGTGCCATATTGACAGTGACTAGGAAATGACATTGGATATCGATGTCAATTACACTAGTATCTTTCTTTGGTGCAGTCTTTTTTATGTTGTTAATATCTCCAATGGTTTGGTCTTCCATGAACTGCACATCATGGCTTTTGACAATATTTTTCTCTATAGGATCGTAAAACCTGTACCCAAATTCGTTTTGTCCATAACTGATGAAGATACATTGCCTAGTGTTCGCATCCAACTAAGATCTTTCATCCTTTGAAATATGCACAAACTCCTTGCAACCAAAGACTCGCAGATAATCATACTTGATAGACTTGCCAAACCAAATTTTACCATGAACCTCAGTATGATCAATGCAAGAGACACAAAAATTTTAGCGTGAAAAACCCTTCAAATCGAAAGGAAAAACCATAAATTGTCTAGACCAATGAAATATTGTTCCACTATAATAAAAATCGGCTACAAGAGAGTTCCAAACAATAGCACAAAATTGTGCAACAACAGCCCCAAACAATCACTCAACAATCAAATACAAATGACAAGAAAAAAAAAAAAATCTCCCAACAAAAACTGCTATTGTCTGTCTCAAATAACTCAAATTATAGACCTCAAAATAACGATTCAACCACTTAAAACCAAGAATTACCTTTTGTTCAAATATCACCCAAATCCAACGGTTAATAAAGTGGAAGATGCCAATTTTCTGAAGTTGCGTAGTGTAGTCGCGGGAATGGCTACTCTTAGGCTTTTTTGTGTTATGAGAAATGAAAATAGAACCTCAACCCACATGCTGCACTCTTCACCCTAAAATGACATACAAGTGGGCTTGAAAGTTGGACTAAAAAATAAACCCAAATAGGAATGAGTCCGACCTAACAACAATTGCACACTGCCAATGTTGAGGAGAAGATTTTATACTTCTTACAGAAATTCAACGACGATTTGAGTGGAGAAGACAAAAACATGAGAGTTGTAGAAGAAGACAATGATAATGCTCGATGCGTAGTGGAGAAGGTGAGTTTAAATTATACTTGAAATTGATTAAATTACCCTAGAGAAGCTGAGTGTAGATATACATATATATATATATCTAAATTGATTAAATTGCGTTGTTTAATTTAAATCATTAGATATAAAATTAAGGGTTGATAATAGTTTATATTGAATCAATTTACAAATCAGCATATCATCCAATGTTTTGGATGTTGCATCGAACAATCAAGAATGCTACTTAGAAATGAATTCTAACTAAAGGATGGTTGATTAATTTATCTAAAAATATAGAAAAACTACTAGAATATGGTATAAATAATTTAAAGATAAATGAACTATAATTGATAAAGTAGATAAACTATATGGCAAGTGTGATGATTTCTTTTTCCTTGTCCATTACAAAATGAAGGTTTTATATCATGAAATATAAAGTAGATCTAAATTAAGAAATCCCTAGCTTATTTAAGTAGCTTTCATAATTTTAACTTAAAATTTAATCTTTTAAATGTCTTGGATCTATCCAAGTTGTTTGAAGAGATGTGTAGTTTGATTGGATGATTTTTTTTTAATTAACTCTTTAATTCTTTGACTGGCTCTAGACTTATTTAGTTATATTTGTGGATAGAATTCTATCCATAATTCCAAATTACGGAGGCTACTGGATTTTTTCGGAACATTCAAGAATTCTCTAGAAATACCTAGACCCTTTGACTAACTCTATGTTTATTAAGTAATTTTAACCAAATTTATGCTTATCCAATAGTTTAATTGTGTATATTTATCCATCGAACCCATCAATTGAGGAATGATTGTGTATAAATAAGGTGGACCTCTCATTTGTAAAACAATAAGTCGTGGAAAGGTGAGGCTACTGGAGGCAGTATCCCAATTCACACAGTGTTCCACATGAGTTTGTTCAAGCTGTACTACAATGGCATTTATGACTGAAGTCAAATATGTTGATGAGAGCTTCACTAGGCGTGCAAACAACAAATGACAAAGTTTCCGATAATATCTTGGTGGATAAGGTGGTGTGCCATGTGAACCAACCAACATCAATTGAGTACTTGGTCAAGTGATGAGGATTGCTTGAATTTTAGACAAGTTGAGAGTAGGCCGATAGGGCATGACAATTCAAAAATAGAGTTTGAGGCATTGAGGGCAATGCCTAGCTCAAATAGAGAAGCATGTCCCAGATCAAAATCTTAGTCGAGAAAAGCCGAAAAAAGAAGCCTAATCACAAAGGTTACCCGAACCTTATGAAAAATTCTGTAGAATGACTTAAACCCTTTGACTAAGTTTATGTTTTTCTAGTAATTTTGCACTACCAGAAAAATATGATAATGTCGCAGAAAATTTCACAGAATTATGCATTGTCACAAATTTCATTGTAAATTTAATAAAAATCTATATATATATATTAATTGTCGCGAAATTTCATAACGATTTTTGTATTTTCACATAAATCTGCAACAAAAGAATTAATTTATTACTCTCCAATTTTGTTGCTTTATGCGACAATAATTTTAGGGAAATTACAAATTTTGCCCGGTATATGGATCTAATTATTATTTTCAAACATTTGTTTTTTCACTTTCTCAATTTAGAACATGTTTACTGTGAACCTTATTTTTGTCGTCTAGGCCAAAAAAACACATGTGACAGTCATGTGAGCTTACGTGGAAACACCGGTGCGTATATGGACTTCGTCAGAGCTGCGTTGGCACGTGAATTGATCTATACGTGGAAATTCAATAATACACATCCGCAATGGACTAAATCTGAAAATTGAGATAGAATGAAAGAACAATGAGGTTCTAAAAAATATCAGGAAATGGTAGCTCGAAATGAATAACATATTCTTTTCCCTTTATTAGAATTTTGTTTCACTGGATATATTCTTAGTAAAATTTTAATGAGGTGTATTCATTGCTATTAAATAATATCTAAGGGGAAGTATTGCAATCTAATATATATTAGGTGCGCTTTATTTATAATTGTGTTGATTAGGTCAAATCAGAATAACTAATTTATATATTAAAAAAAAAAGTAGCATTTATCCAACAACACATCTTAATATAACATATATTTTGATAGCACATTATATAATTTCATGTAGCATAATATATTCAGATTTTAGCCAATAAGCATATTATACAACACATCACAATATGTAACTCACAAAGCAAATGTTAATACAATATATAGTATAACATATTATCAAATTTCATGTAGAATAATATATTATGTTTTCAAGACAATTAACAGATTATAGACTAATATAACATATGCAGTTGTCTTGTGATGAAATGTTAATTGCTTCAAGTTAATATGCAAATTTGCTCAAATTAACATAATACTAATTTGACCAAATCAACACGCTAATCTCTCCATATTAGATATCATTCAATTACTATGTATTAAATCTCATATTTATGTATTGTCAAATCATAGAAATTTTTGATTAATCACATATTAAAAGCTTATAAAATAGGGTTATTGTTTTCGAATGAAACAACATAATAAATTTTCTCTCCCTAAAACACACTCCCTCGAACACTCACGTTACATAAATATATTGACCCTACTATATATATATATATTTATATCTACATCTATATATACATAAAAATATTCCGGCAAAATTGTCCATAGCTTCCATTTAGTTTCGAAATTCAACATAAATCCTCAATGTATTTTTAAAATTGCATGACACCCTCTTATACTTTTGAAAACGTTTCATAAAACCCTCATCATACAAAAAATATTGATAGGAAATAATCTTTTCATTATACAAAAAATATAAAAAAGAAGTTTCATGCAATGTTTTTTAAAGTATAAAAAGGACGATATGTAATTTTCAAGATACAAGGGGATTTACGCTAAATTTGAAATTACGGAGAGTTACGGACAATTTTGTCAAATATCCTTATATTTATTTTTTAATTTTAAGTGATGTGATGAGATAAAATAAAATAGATATTTATATAAATATAATTAATTATTTCTAAATTCGGAAATATTGTAGTAAGTTTGGGATAAATAAAAAAAAGAAATGTTGCAGGGTGTTTCGAACAGAAGGAGTAGTACGTATGAATATCGATACAGAAGAAATAAATGAATATTTAGTTAAAGGACAGATGTTGTATTATTTAATACCAAATAAGATTTGTTGATGTATATTTTCAACAATAAAAAGTAAAATCCGAAAATAGGAATTTATCTTCGAACTTGATTAATTAATGCCTGAGATTAAGAATATCTAAACACTGTACGGTACATAAGAAAATAAACTAGAAAATAAAAGACTGGAATTTTAAATGATGATCCCCGAATCTCTTGACTTTGCTGTCGTTTGAAGATGATTGAAGATGCCCTGTCAGTTGCAAATCTCAATCCTTAAATACCCTTAAAAAACGGTACTTAGAACCGTCGCCCGAACGGTTACAATATTTCTCTTAACCGTTCGCTACCTCATCTTCTGCTGACACGTGTTTTCAGCCGACCAAGCTATTGTCCTCACTTGCTTTCCGCAGCATCCGACCTCCACAATAACCGACTTGTTGGTCCGACCGCAGACCTCCCGACTTGTTAGTCCAGCCGCAAACCTCCCGAATGGCGGACTATCCGACTTATAGACTGTCCGACTTGCACACCATCCGACCTACAGACCGTCCGACCTGCGGACTTTCCGACCTATGGACCTTCCGACCTGCGGACTTTCCGACCTGCGGACTTTCCGACCTGCAGACCATCCGACCCGCTATTTCCTCAGAAATATATCTATTTCACCCGATTTTCTCGAAATACTCCCTGATCGATCTAACAAACCCAATTATAGGCCCATCTCCCTTTCTGACTTGGGCTTTTTTAACCTAATTATAATTTTCATACGTAACAAGATTAATAATCTTTTATTATAATATTATCATTATACAATGTTTTACTTTATATAGCTTATAGTAATGCATAATAAACACATGATTAGGTTATATAAAATAATATTATCTACCACAATCATCCAAAGTAAACACATCCTAGTAGATTATACAATATATTACAATATATAATTCACACAGCAAGTGTTAATACAATATACTCCCTTTGTCCCTTTTGAAAGGAGTCATTTGGGTTTTTATAATATATTAAGAAATAATAGTATTTTATTAGTTAGTGGAAGTGTACAAGAGATTTGGACAGTTTTGCCATTTGACTTTTTGAATAAAATAATAATATGTGTACGTTTTTAATTTAAATAAAAGTTAATGATATTTTAGTATTAGTGTATGATTACTTTTTCTAAAATAGGAAATAGATATTTTGAAATAAGACAGATGGAAATTGTATACTTTAAATTATGACGGAGGTAATAGAATGTAACACATTACATAGTTGCATAAGAAGAATATATATATTGATTTCAAAACGACATATAACTCATACCACACATAATTTTTTGCAAACTAGGCCCAATAAAATAAGTCATATTAAACGAATCATGTAAGACATATTGACCTGTAAACGTTGGAGTTTGAACTCATGATGTTACGGTCACACTATATATACAACATACTCCTTCCGTCCCATTAAAATGTTATCATTTTCCATTTTCGTCCGTTCCAAAACAAGGTTACCATTTCCTAATTTAGTAATTGTACTACCTACATAACATAATAAATATCTTTTCAACTTACAATATATTACACAAATGTCATTACTTTTATATTACACCATACTAATAGGGGTATTTTTTTGTCGTTTTTACTACAATCCAATATAATACTAATATTAAAAAATTTACGTGCAAAAAACAAACATCACCCTTCCAACGGGACGGAGGGAGTAATATATTTATAACACAATATGTGTTTTGCTATAACATAATATATACATATATGTTTTTATTATATATACTGATTGGGTCAAACAACAATTTATTGATTTGAGTAGTTCAATACCAAAATTGCACTCAATAAGATAATATAAAGATATTACTCCCTCCGTCCCATAACAAAGTATTTATTTTTTTCTATTTTAGTCCGTCCTATAACAGAGTATTCATTTCTTTTTTAGTAACTGTATTATCTACCTAACATTACAAATACACTTACAACTTACAATATATTACACAAATGCTATTACATTTATATCACACATACTAATAAGGTTATTTTAGTCATTTCTATTTTATTCCCACTATATCCCAATATAATACTAATATTTCTAAAACTATCTGAAAAAAATAAATATATATTTACTTATGGGACATAGGGAATATTATTAATCAATACCGAATTTGCACTCAATAAGATAATAATATTATTTATGTACAGAGATTATATTTTTAAATTTAAAATTTAAAATAAGTATAAAATTTAAAATAATTTAAATGATAAACTAGGAGTGTTATACTTTTTGTTTGCAAATATTTATAATTTGTTTAGAGCACGAGTTGTTGATGTGCGGTATTTCTTACTCCCTCCGTGCCACATATTATATCCACGCTGTCGTTTCTGTCCCTTCTACATACCATGTCACTTTCTTTTTTTGGAAAATGATTACACACTTTTATGTTATTTTAAACTTTTTAAATTTATTTTTTTTAAAATTTTAATTAAACTAATTAGTTATCTTCATTTTAATTTATAATTATTTATGTTATCGGATAATTATTTTAACTAATATATTTTTAATTATCTACTAATTATACCCCTTTTAAAATACCGTGTCTACAATTTAGCAGATGGAATGGAGGGAGTACTTATTATAAAAACATTTATGGGTTCAACTGGAAATAGGAAAAAGTCTAAGGGCAGTCGGAGTCAAAACTACTTCGGTGATGACGTCATCATATATAAATACTCCGGCGTTCCAAAACCTTTACGATAAATCTCCAAACGCAGTCAGTATGTTTAAGCAGCGCATAAAGTAGTATTCCTTCCGACGGCGTCACAGATCTCCGGCGACGATGCCTCGCCGTGGCGTCGCCGATCTTCAGTCCCAATCACCACTACCTCTAGTCGTTGCGCTCAATTGCATTGAAGATGTACAGCTCGAGCAGGAATGCTTGTCCGGCGTGGCGCAGGTGGAGCACGTTCCCCTGAGTCGACTGGCAGAGTCGCGGATCGAGTCGGCGGACGCGATTTTGTTGCATTCTCTGTCGTTCCTCCCACGCGCCGCGTACCGCCGGCTTCGCCCCTGGCAGTTGATCTTGTGCCTCGGATCCTCCGACCGCGATGTCGAGTCGGCTCTCGCGGCCGACCTCGGGTTGAACCGGATGGTCCACGTTGATGTGAGCAGATCAGAGGAGGTGGCGGATACGGTGATGGCGCTGATTTTGGGGCTACTCAGGCGTACGCATCTGCTGTCGAGTCACACTCTCTCGGCATCAGGGTGGCTCGGTTCAGTGCAGCCGCTCTGCCGCGGGATGCGCCGTTGCCGTGGATTGGTGTTGGGGATTGTCGGTAGATCTGCGTCCGCCACTTCACTGGCTAATAAGAGCTTGGCGTTTAAGATGAGTGTATTGTACTTTGACGTGCAAGAGGTACTGAATTTGAAGCTACATTCGTATCTACCTGCTTCTGTCTTTCCATTTCGTTAGAAATCTGAAGTTTAGTTTTACTGGATTTAGTGCTAAGCGTTACTGGCATTAATGATGTTTGTAGTTTACTGTAAACTATAAATGCTATCTTATTCGGGTTTTTGGTCTTTTCTCAAATTTGAGTATCTTAATTTGATGAATTAGTTGGATTGAATTAAGTTGCTTGTTGAAATGGTTTGATGTTTACATTATTCATGAAATATGAATGTCTGCTTATGATCCTATATATTATGGGTGGTTAAGTTTTTAGTAAAATTGCATAATTGATGCTTGTTCCCTTAATCTAATTACTCAGCAATTCCATGTGATGAAGTTGCCTTAGTATGGAATGCTTTAAGCATATGATTTTGATTGCAGAAACATGAGATGTTTTGGTTTTCTTGGGCATCTTTATTAGATCATTGTTATTAATGAACTGTGTTAGACTTTTGTATGTGTTTACACCGAGACATCAATGACATTATTGGTGCGATACAACTTATAGATGAAATATTAGAGACATTAATGCAGTGTTTTTTGTTTTGTTTTGTTTTACTTTTGTTAATTGTTGGATGTTTGGTTTTGTTCCTTACATCTTTATGCAGGGAAATGGTATGTTAAGAAGATCTTCCTTGAGATTCCCTGCTGCTGCCAGAAGAATGGATACACTTAATGACTTGCTAGCTGCAAGTGACCTCATTTCGCTGCACTGTTCGCTGACTAACGACACTATTCAAATTCTTAATGCGAGTTGTTTGCAGCATATAAAACCTGGTATCATTTAACTGTTTCCCCTGAGGATTTTCACTTCTTGCTTCTTTAAGCCATCTCCCTCATGAGGTGATATATGGTTCTCTGTGTGAAGGGGCATTTCTGGTAAATACCGGGAGCAGCCAGCTTCTGGATGATTGTTCTGTGAAACAACTTTTGATTGAAGGCAAGCTTGCAGGATGTGCTCTGGATGGTGCTGAAGGACCACAATGGATGGAGGCATGGGTATGATGATAGTCTTAGGGTATGAATGCATTGTAGAAATGCAGTTCAGAAGTTTCATGCCCTTTTGCTTGCATGTTTTCTTCTAAAACTTCTTTGTCCGTTGGGAATTTCCCTTGCCCTTTTGGTCATGGGAAAGTCTCAGTAATGCTATATATAACTTTGGCTGTGGGGATGATGGTCCTCTTTGCTAGCGTTGACTTGATAAAACCATAAAGTTTTATTTTGCATTGATGTGTTTGAAAGCATGATCTTGATTTTTATTGATACAATGGAGCCAGAGGCATGGAACGTTTGTTCATCCTTGAAGACTCCACATGATTATACTATACTATACGTGTTCTTTACTTGGATTGGTTTGGCTTTTCATCTGCATTAAACATATCAATGCCCGGAACTGGGGAATAAGCACTGGTTGGCTTTCTTTTTATCCACAATTCTGTGTGTTCAATTTATACATATTTCTGAGTGCAAGTAACATATTGTGGCACATAAAATCTAAAAATGCATTCTCAGTACTCTATTCTGCTTGCTCTGCACCTAGTGGTCTACAAGGGATTGCATAATTTGATTATCTAGTTAAAGTGCTAAATAATTTCTGCAAGTCCATTACATTCTAAGTGAATAATCATTGTTTAGAATTTGATTAAAGTGCATTGCTTTAGAAAGAGCTCTTTTAGTGGTTGGTGGTTATTGTGGTTCTATTTTCTCCTGCCTTTCGCTAACTGGATAATGTATTAACTTCTTTCAGGTTAGAGAGATGCCCAATGTTTTGATACTTCCCCGTAGTGCCGACTTTAGTGAAGAAGTCTGGATGGAGATAAGGGAGAAGGCTATTTCAGTACTGCAACAGTTCTTTATTGATAATACATTTCCAAAATCTGCTTTATCTGACAAGGAAGAAGAGGTGGAAAGTGAGATTGTGTATGAAAACGAACCAACTCATATGATAGAGAATGAAACTTCATTCGAGGCTACAGTGGGTGAAACATTGGCTGAAGATATTCAGATGGCAGCCGAAAGACCCCTGAAAAACGCTGTTAATAAGTCCATGGAGGCTTCCTCTCAAAATCAAGGCTCTGTTTTGTCTCAAAGTACTTCAAGTAGATCTGAAACAAATAGGAGCAGATCAAGTAAGAAGGCTAGAAGGAGGCTGGGTCGACTAAAATCTCGAAATAAAGCAGATGATCCATTGACTTCAGAAAAGGAAAGTACGTCTTACAGGGAAGATGATGCTACCATCAGTAGCGCAGATCAAGTGTTGACCTCTAGTTCACATCTCCATTCTTCTGAAGATTCAAGGAACAGGAAGCTATCGGCTGTCTCACAAATGGAAGTATCTCCAGAGCTGCTCTTGAAATCGAGTGTAGAACTTAGGAGGAGATCTGGTGAACTTCTGAAAGATGGTTATATAATAGCTTTGCATGCAAAAGATCCTCCTGGTCTTTATGTCTCGAGGCAAAGAGTTAAAGGTGGCGGTTGGTTCCTTGACACAATGTCAAATGTAGTGAAACGGGATCCTGCAGCCCAGTTCCTGGTTGCATTTAAAAGCAAGGCATGTAGATGAAATATTAATAATGTTCTGACTACATCTGCTCATGTAGAAGCTGATCAATTTCTTACATTGCTGTATTTTGCAGGATACCATTGGTTTTAGATCATTCACTGCTGGAGGAAAGCTGTTGCAGGTACTGGTCTAAGTTAATAAATCATTATCACGAAGGACATGTTATTTCATTTAGTCGGATAAAATTATCCCACAGCACTATTTTTTCTAATCACATTTCATGAGCCCCATAAATCACAATTCACCTAATCAATTGAGGGTTTTATCTATTGCAAAAAAAATAAATGATTGGGTGGATAAATGAATGAGCTTATAAAATCTAGTCCGACATACATGGTAACATATGTCGGAGATTTTGTTTTGGCTTTGCAGATAAACAGAAGGATGGAATTCGTATTTGCTAGTTACAGCTTTGATGTTTGGGAGGGTTGGAAATTTGAAGGTGGTTCCTTGGAAGAGTGTAGACTGGTGAACTGCCGAAATGCACAAGTACGTTCATTTCTCTCGTGTGATTCTCTTAGACCTTTCATCATGTCTATTAGTAGCGATTTCCATAGTAACTATCATCGTCATTTTGCACCGGACAATGTAATTCCCATACTAATAATATATTAGTGTGAAAGGTCTTCTTCAGTCCTGGAACGACACTATTTTCAAATCTGCTAAAAATTGTCGAATCTTGGAGTTCCAGAGAGAAAAGGCCATTGCTTAACTTACACACTTAAATTAGTTCATTACGTCTAAATTTTCTACAAGTATCCAACGTATCATTTAACTATTGTTTACCATTTATTTGCCACGAAGACTTGCTGTGTGTTCATTATTTATTTACCACACTCAAATTGGATTACTTGTATGAAAATGTTTATAATTTCAGTTCAATAATTTTCAAAATAGGAAAAATATCTGAGATCTGCATGTATTTTTTGCAAGTTCAATGACTTGAAACAATATATTTCTGCAATCCGTGATACAAATGAGAATTTGATACTTCACGGGATTAGATACACACACAAGCCCGACTACCTTTCTTGATATAACATATTTGTGTATCAATGCCTGATTCCCAGGCTGTGCTGGACGTACGCATTGAGGTCCTTGCAGCTCTAGGTGAAGACGGCATTACGCGATGGCTGGATTAGGCTGTTGTGCCGCTAGCATCTCGATCGGTTTTGCTTCCCTCGGTTTGTGGCTCTTAATTTTTGTATCCATTTCAAATTGGAATTTCTGTGCTTCCCTAATCGTCGCGTCTGTGTGATCAACAATATTCTTCTTGTTGTGGCTGCGGTTGGTGGCGAGCAATAGTCGCATTCGGGTTTGGTGTCTTCCGACTCTGTATCGAAGTAAAGAAAGATCCCGACCAAGCTGGCAAAAAGGGACAATGGTTAGTTGTGTTTTTACCCTTATCCTATAAGGTTTAGAGTATTGTGAAAAATGACGAGTCTATGAGAGTACTAAACGGAAGATTGTTATTGCAAGTATGCGTGTGTGCGTGTGTGTGTGTATAATCAATCAAAATTTATTCATTCTCAAATGTGTAAAATGTCGAGGTTACTATAATCTTTACAAAGCCCGACAACCAGCTTTAGAGTGTATTGTAAATTAGTGACCGAGTGATTGATTAATTCCATTTGTTCACAGATTTTTTTGGAGTTTTAAAAAATTATGAAAATAATAAAATTGATAAATAATATGAAATTTTTTAAAAGTACACGTAAGCTTTATGGATACACACCTATACACCTATGTATCTATACATGATCTTAAATGACGCTCGTTGGAGAGAGTTGATTATGAGAATCCCGTCCCATAACAAGGGATATCATATATACTTACAAATAATATAAATATATATATATATATATATATATATCAGTTTTGATGAGAGGGAATAGAGAAAGGGACTGAGGATCCGTCCATTTGGATAGCGGTTGTTAATAAATTGTAAATTAATGTCTTATTATATATAAACATCATGGGCCTGTTTGTATAGCTTTTCATATATAAATACCCTACTATTTTTTAAGATGAGACTGTTTATAAATTTTTATTTGACAAATAGCATAAAATTTTCATGTAATTTGCTAAATTTACTTGACAACACCTCGTGGTTTGAAAATTTTATATAATTTACTTGTAATTTTTAAAACGTTGCACACTTATCTTTTTTTTTTTTAAATGTAGTTACCGGTGTTAAATATTTACATAGACTGACCGATAGACATTTGTTTTATTCTTAAATTAAATTTCAAATTAAATATCATTCTCCCTCCTTCTCCTTTCTCTCACAGACGTCGACGTCGTCTCCTTTCTCTTCTTCTACCAACTCACACCATCCACTGACATTGTCTTCTTCTACCTCTACCACCGCCTGCACTTGACTACCGTCCCGCCGCCGTCGACAACCGTCCAATGACTCCGATTGCGCGCCCAATAGTCCTCTTTCCTCCACATTCTTCTTCGTCATCGTCTTTTTTTTCTTCTTTCTTTTTTACCAAATTTTGTTTTTTTTTTTTTCTTTCTTCCCCTCCTTTTTGTGTCCTTTTCTTCTTCTTCACCAATTTTTTTTTTCTTTTCTTCCCTTCCCTTTTGCAGTCTTTTTCTTCTTTTTTTTTTTATTTTTTTTATTTCACAAATGCCACAATTTATTTATATTTATTTATAAATACTCTCCGCCTTCTGCCCGTCTTCTTCTTCCTTGTCTTTTTTCTTTTTTTCTTTTTTCTTTTCTATATAAATTCAATCACATAGAGCATATATGTAATTGAAAATTATTGGTAAATTGGATCGCATCAAAATACATACAATTTGAAACAAAAAAGTTAGTTAGAGGATACGACTTGGAATTGGAATCTTCTTCTTTCGCACTACAAAAAACATTACAAATTACTAAGGAAAAATTTCATTACAACTGAAAAAATTTCTGTCATAACTTTCAATTACAATGGAAATTGCGACCAAGTGGAAGTTGTAGTAAATATTATTGTAGTAATCCACTGTGAAAATTTTTTGTTACGGAATTTTACTACAGAAATATATTGTTATCATAGTGCAATGTAATGGAAAAGATCTGTTGCTAATTCTGTTGCAAGTTTTCGAAACGCATTTTAAAAAAGAATATCTATGTTGCAAAATCCGTTGCAAATAGAATAGCAAATTGCGAGAGAATATAACTATTGCTTATGCCGTCGCAATTTTTTGTTTTGCTCATTTTTTGTCAATTTTTTTTTTCAATATCTATCTCACAAATATTAATTCAATCCTCCATAATCAATAAAATTTAATAATTGGATTAATATATCTCGTCAAAGATACAAGAACTAATTGAAATCATATAAAATTTTCAAATTTAAACAGTGTCAATAGACCAAAAACACAATGTATTTAGTATCAGTACAACAAGTAGCACATATCAGAAAAATGTATAAATCTAATTCAAGTTACCATAATATCATACCAAAACAACGGAGCACTACCACCATTTGAATTGGGTTTGAACCTATGAATGGATGGGGCTCCCATATGTCGTAATTGCTCCATAATGGTCAAGTTCAAATCGTATATGGCTCGTTGTTGGTTCTCCATATTTGTGACACGTTGTTGCATCACTTCCCATTGACTACGTCCCTCGGCAAGATCAGTCCTCAACTCACTCAACTCGCACTCCATCTTTGTCAATCGTTCCTCAAGAATAAATGTGCCCGGAGTACGACCATCAGTGCAGAAGGATGATGGTCGAGGAGGAACAGTCACACCTAATGACCCCAACCCATAAATGCGATTTTTCTTGTCACGGGGCACTACGGTGAGGAATACATTATCTGGATCATATGACGTATTTCCTTGTTGAGTCAGGTGTGCTTCAATAACATCCACTTCATCCTGAAAATAATTTAGATGAATACCATGTTAGTTTCCAAACAAAATCATAAAAATACTTGATACAAATGAATAATAATAATAATAACAATAACAACAACAACCAACAACAACAACAATATGGTGGCAATGCATATGACTTCAACACTAAAATTTACATGCCCCAATAAATGCTCGGAAGGAGGCAACCAAATCCAATTAAAGTCAATATTTCAATAGATCTATAACTTTTAGTGCCTTATGTTAATCCTTTAATCATGAGCTCAATCAATCAGTACAAAACAAAATTCCTGCTCTTGAAGTATATTAAGATCAATAAACGATTACTTTTGGTGCAACTTAATTTACAACATCAAAGAAAAGTTAACGTAAAGCACATGTCCAATTTAACTAAAAAAATAACACATTTAATACTAAAACTACAAACATAATAATAACACCAATTTAACCTACCAACCAACCTAAAGATTGAATAATAAACCTATGCCAACCAACATAATAATAACACCAAATAAAAATTTAAGTTATGATAAGATCCCACTAAATTCTTCTGCAACTTAATAATAAAGAATGCAGGACAACAAAAAGTACAAAATGAGATTGTCTAACAATATAATTAATCCATTCCCCAACAAAATTTAAACAATAAAATATTTTTATTTAGAATGAATCATAAACATAATAATAACACCAATTTAACCTACCAACCAACCTAAAGATGAATAATAAACCTATGCCAACCAGCACAATGATAACACCAAATTAAAATTTAGGTTATCATAAGAATCCCACTAAAATTCATCTGCAACTTAATAATAAAGAATGCATGACAACAAAAAATATTAAATGAACTTGTCTAACAATATAAACAATCCATTCCCCAACAAAATTTAAACAATAAAATATTTTTATTTAGAAAGAATTATGAAAACGATAATGGAAATCAACTCACAGCTACTTTAGTTGCTTTCGCATTAATAAATGTGGCGCAATTGTGTTCTTGCCCACTTATAGGTTCCAACCTTATTCATCCCCTAAATATTTGCAAATGATAAAAAAATTAATAATTAAATCTAAAAAAATATTAATCAATGTTAATAACTAAACAAAGAAATACTACCTTTCGCGCTGACTCCGTAAAAGATCGCGAGCCACCAATGTGCGTCGACTCAGCACGACCAGTCATATTCCCACGACGCTTATTCTTTTTTGTTGTATCAGATTTTTGTTTTGCAGCATCAGATGACCAAATTCTTCGCCACTCGGCCAGCATTGTCACATCAATTTGCTCCTCCAGCTTTCTCCTCCGTTCAGATCTAATATCATGTATCCACTGACCATATACATTGACAGCCTTGGAATTGAACTTCTCCTTGACTTGACCATCCACTGAAGAGTCCCAAACAATATATTTTTATATTTGATGTTAGACGCATATACTTTAATACCTCTGTGTAATAAAGTACCACATTATATTTAAAAATTATACCTACATACCTTAAATTCTTTCCAATATAGTTCTTTTGTGATTGATGGAACTTTCCTCAACGTGATTTCATCCTTATTCACGTTAGATTGAAACACTTTACAAAATTTACTAGTAACACTACGTGGCCAAAATAGGCTGAAACATTAATGATATTAAAATTATAAGAATTAATGTTTTAAAAAAGAAAAAGATTCATTCAATTTGAATAATTCCAAACCTGCCATCATCTTGAACAATGATTGAAGACCATGCTGCAGTAGTGGATGAAGTTGGAGGCGGAGCGGAACCTACAATAAAGATATAAATAATTAATATCAATATGCATTATTAACTTATATTTATGACGTTCAATACTTACTAGAAGCTTCTGCATCCATAGAACTGAATTAGGTACCCTTGATCGTGAGCCTACAATATATGTAACACACATTTACGATTTTGGTGGGAAATTAAATAAAAGCAAAGGAGCCTACAATATATATAACACACAATTAGGATTTTGGTGGAAAAAATTAAATAAAAGCATATGAGCCTACAATATAGGACACACTTACGACCTTAATAGAAAAATAAATAAAAAATGATCATATCTAAATTTCTTCATAAATACCTGAGTCATCATCTGGATAAGTTGGTGCGTCATCACGGTGTTCACCCTGACCCTTTCGGGCTCTAACAAGTCGAAGGGCCTCAACAATATCCCTTTGCATCTGATCTGAAGCGTGACCTTGAGACATCTATATTGTTAATACACAATTGAATAAGTCTAAATAGTATTACCAATATATATATATATATATAACATAGTATGCATACCAATTATTTAAAAACATATTATTTCGCACTACTTATCAGAATCTTCTTTATCAGTTGTCGACTCAAATAATAATTTTTTCTATATACACCTCTTCATCAACCGAATAATTAGACTAAACCAATGGGATGCCACTCTCACCACCAACAACCGCCATATTGAAATCCTCCGCATTACTAACCATTTCAATGCCCCATGTCTATACTGTGGGGTCTTGATAAGTTTCATGTTCAATCATCATCTTTTTATCTCCTTTTTTATTTCAATCCAACCGCGTGGCTTAACCTTACAAACTGCAAGCCAATCATCTTTGTCTCTTTTTGTACTTGAAAACGAGATGCAAGATACTTGCGATGCTTGCATTGCCAAAATAAATGGCTTATCTGTTCGGAGGTGCTTCCTTTTGTTGATCACTACTAGGTTATATCTATCATGTTTTTTTGTACCCACACCTATCG